CATTTTATCAACAAGGCCAAGTAAGTGGATGATCATCTCCGGGGTGAGGGTAAGGACCTGTTGGTGTCCGTGGAGAGAGTAGGCTTGAGTCCTCATGTGACTGTAGCTGGAAGACAACCCTCGAGGGTAGGCAGGAGGGGAAATGCAGTAGCTGGTAGGGCTTGGCTGAGCACTTGGAGGCGATTGCAAAGGTTGATGCTGACCCAAGCCGACCAGATGCCACTGTGGTGCCTCTTACTGGTTAGCGGGAGCGAGGAGTCTGTTCGTCAGGGGGCTTACCACACCTCCGTGTACCCCGGGAAACTCCTTGACCTGTTGTGCCTCTCTCCTCAGCTCAGCACCTGTGTCCCCAGCACTCTTCTGTGCTCCCAGCTCCCTGCCCCTCGTTCTGGCACAATACCTTTATTCAGCATCTTTTACTACCATGTCAGTTTAAGGAGCTTTGCTTTCTACTGCCGTGCCAATTAAGTCGCTCTCTCTTTGCTGCTTAATTGCCAGGGTTTTTTGTGAGGCAATGAAGAGATTTCTGAGATCCCTTCTCTTGCAAAAGGCCTTTGAGAAGGGAGTTTGCGAGGCCCCTGGAATGCCCAAATGCCCTGTCTGGTCCCTGGAAATGGTTAATGTTTAACTTCTTTGCCACCTCCCAGAATTAGCCTGGGCATTTTCTTTTTATTCATCAGTTTTTGGGTTTTGTTTCCAGTTTTTTCTCTCTCTTTTTTTAAAGGAAGAAATGGTGTTTTTATTCTTAGTAAGAAAGAGTAAGCCGGAAGGAGAGTTCTGTCGCAGAAAACGTTGAACGATGCGTTAGACTAGAACGAACAGAGCAGTCTCCCCTGCAACAGTGAGCGACCCAAACCCATTGGGTTCTGCCATGATACACTCTAGTTTTTCTTGCCTCGACACATGTAGTTTATCGCTGGATGGGTTTTCCTTCATCTCCGCACCCCGCAGAGATTTTAACGATGACACCTTGTTAGCCTGTGCTTTATCATGGCTGAGCTGTTCCCTCAGTTACGACCCCATCACCGGGTTTACGGGAGTTTTACTCGGTGTTGACCTTGGTTCCACCCATCCACTGAGACTTCATGATTAGTAAAGGGCTCAGGCAGAGTGGAGACTGTAGAGGTTTTATTCTCTCAAATTCATGGCACAGCGCTCTTGGGGGCTTTCTCTGCCCCTGTTACTTGTCTTCAGGCTTGACCACAGGTTTGAGTCAAAGCCTTTGGGTTTGTGTGGTTTGCATCAGTGACAGTGACAGAGGGGCCATGGAGGACAGTGACTAGGCCCTGGAGGTCTGGTGGGGTGGCCACCATCTTGCTAGCCCACCATTTTCAGAGACAAGGTCAGTCAGGCTGAGGGAGCTCGGGCTGCACTGCGGTGAGGTGAGTGTGGTTGTTAGGTGCAGTCCTTCTCCAAATCCCCTCTTTCCTGGTGAGAGGTTTATCTTTTTTTTGGACCATTTTGCCCAAACCAATTCACTCCTCCGGTGCTGTGATCGAGAGAGCAAGTCCTCATCTGCTGCCTGTTTCAGGACATGACAGTAAAACCTAGTAGCCAAGGACTTTGAGACACAGTCTCCTTTTCTTTTTCCCTCTCCACCAGGAAAAATCGCTCCAAGTGTCTGGTGCACTGCAAAATGGGTGTGAGTCGGTCTGCTTCTACAGTCATAGCTTATGCAATGAAGGAATTTGGCTGGTCCTTGGAAAAAGCCTACAATTATGTCAAGCAAAAACGCAGCATTGCAAGACCAAATGCGGGTTTCATGAGACAGCTGTCAGAGTATGAAGGCATTTTAGATGCAAGGTAAGATGCTGATCAGAACGTCTCCCCGGGGAGCAGGTAGCAAGTTACCATTGTGTGTGGTGGGTCCCTTCACCGCTAAAATTAGAAAAGGAAAAAAACAGTTTAAAATTTTTAGAGCTGGTCAGAAAATGGGAAGCAAAAAAGTCTCCAGGGAAAAACAGTTTTTGGTTTCAGGAGCTATTTTGGGCAAAAACCATTGTGGAAATGTTAATAACAAGCAGAAAGTTTCAGTAGCATCAAGGGTTTCTCTTGAGTCAGCATGCAGATGTTAGGTTCTGTCCATGCTGGTCAGGACCTGGGTTTAATTTAGGCACAGATGTGAGGATCATATACATGTTGTAGCCCAGGCTGGGGAGTAAACCACCAGGGCTGGCAGCGTTCTTGGGCCAGCTAGCTGTGTTTGAAAGGTGGCAACGAAGAGCGTGAGTGAGCGAGTTTCTTGGTTTCAAATCCCAGCTGTTAGAGGCCACTTTCAGTGGAAACTTCATCTCTGCATAACTTCCTGTTTCTTTTGGGTGGGGGCAGGGAGTGATTGCTGCAGCTGAATTTGCCGTTTGACCTTGTGCAAGGTGAGAGTGCCTCAGCTATTGGAAGGGTCATCTGCTTCTGGTGTGAGGGGCAGCTCAGGAGGGTTCATCTACCCTGTGTATATCCCCAGTGGAGGTCTCAAGCTACCTTTGGTCTCAAGGACTCGTGCTTTAGATGAAATCCTGAAGTCAGGAGTTTCTCCTTGAGCCCCTTGTGTCCCAAGTTATACTCAGGTGTCTTCATCTGGAAGCCTTTTTCCTGCTGAAGGTCTTTCCTTCTGGATGAAGGCACACTGTTCTCTGTGGGTGCCTGTGCCTGGTATTCCTGCAGTGGGTCATGCTAACTGCTGATGTGCTCCAGGCCTTCCCAGTCACAGCTGCTGGGCTCTGGGGCCCTTGCTTTCCTATTACATTTCTTCCTTTGAATTAACTGAAATGTCCCACTCACCCTTCAGCTGGGCCTAAGTTGCAGCTGGATTGCTGCTTCCAGCCCGCTTAGTGCTGCCACTGCCCTCTAGGATGGGGGGATCCAGTTGCGGTTGCCCGTTTACTCCAGAGGGGTGGGTCTTGTATGATGAGTTTTGTTGCAGTCACTCGTGTCTTCTCCTTTCCCCCCCACCAGTAAACAGCGCCACAACAAGCTGTGGAAGCAGCAGGCAGAGAGCAACCTGCCGCCGAGCACAGACGGCTCCCCAGGGTCCAGTGCCTTCCTGCTTGAAAGTCTGGACATCGATCTGGAAAACCGGCTGGTTGACCTGGACGCGCCTCTGTCGTCCAGCTACTTGGACAACCGAGGTGGCATAGAGGCTGGGGAGCTCAGCTACTGCTTCCGGCACCTCTCTGACTCACTGCTGGAAAACAAGCAGCCTGGTGACAGGGAGGGACTTTTCCAGGTGGAGGACCTGGAGCGGGATGCCATTTCAGAGCAGGTGAAGTCACCCGCAGGCCAGCCTCCTCCTCCAGCATCTCCTGCGGATCCCATGAAGGCCAAGGAGAGCATGGAACCGTTGGCTGAGCTGAGCAGGTTCTGTGAGAAGGAAGTGAAGAAGAAACTGGAGCTGAGCATCCAGAAGGCTTGGAACGCTCCTGGGCAAGTGGATGGTGGGGAAGGGAGCTCCCGGGAGGAAAACCCCACGGAGAGGTGGAAGAGGCGCTTGTCCGTGCACAGGGAAGAAAGCCGGCTCAACAGAGAGAACCTAAATAACAACAACAGCAAGCGGAGCTGCCCGGAGGATTTTGAGGTGCGTATGGGACCAGGATGTGGCTGATTCACATGCCCCGCTTCGCATGCATGAGACCGCCCTGCTCATCCTTCTGGCGCTGGTCATTTGGGGTTGGAAGTAGTGGCTCCTGTCGTAGTGCTTGACCCGGGTTGAGCCTGTTCCGCATAGAAGCGCTTCCCAATGCTGCTTTGCTTGTAGGAGCTGTGGAGCCGGTCACCCCAGGGAACGTGGGGCCGCACCGATGTGCTATAAAGCCTCTCAGACCGACCTCCTTTGTGGCCATCCGTTGAAACGGTGGGTTTTCCTCCGCTCCAGATGCTACTCGCTGGTGGCAGTCGTGTCCCAGACTGCAGCAGGAATGGAGCCAGGATTTGTTTCCAAGTCCCTTGGGCCTCACAGCCATTCCTTTCCTCTTCTGCCACTTGCCTTTCAACCTGCCAGGCTGCCTTATTTTCCCCTCTGTCCTGTTCCAGTAGCTTAGTGAATCTGACCTCTTTCTGCCTGTTCTTTCCTTTCTTAGCACGATGCCATATTTGGGATCCTCAGCAAGGTCAAGCCTTCCTACCAGTCTTGCGCTGACTGTATGTATTCCGCAGCCCGTGCCTCCCCGGACACCTTTGGGGAGCAGTATGAGAAGCTGAACCTGGCCGCGGCCCACCGCACCTCTACCATCTGCACCCAGCCGGTGCTTCTCTCCCACCTGACTGCTCACCTGCCAGACCAAATGCCAAGCAGGCTGCGGCCTGGGGAAGCAATCAGAGCTAAACTCGACATCGTGCCTCCTTTGGTCGAGGGGATGAGTGTCACGGACATCAGTCCTTGCAAATCTGTGGCCGGTCAGCCCAGCGGGATTCCAAAAGATGCCACCAAAACACCTGTCAAAGCCCTGGTTGCCAGAAGGAACTCGCTCGGCGAGAAGAGCCCTCTGAACCCTGATGCCTTGAAGGAAGAGGCCCTATCCAGGAAGGATGTCAAACCAACCAAGGACCTGAAGTATTTGCTGTTCAGCAAAGAACTGGAGAAGCCCACTGCTAACAGTTACCTGATGCAGCATCAGGAGTCCCTGATCCAGCTCCAGAAGGCAGGCTTGGTTAGGAAGCATACCAAAGAGCTGGAGCGGCTGCAGGGAGCACCACTGGAAACCTCGGCCCTGGTACGAGAGAGCCCCTTGAGCAGACCTGACATGGGTCCGCTGGAAGAAAACCAAGACTCGGCTGCCCGCCAAGGCCCGGTGCCTTTGCTTAGGCCAGCGTCTTCGCTGTGCGATGGCGCAGAGAACAACGTGCAGAAGTCAGAGGCCAAATGTTCCTTCGAGGGAATGCTGCAGAAAACCTCAACCCCTCTCGTGTGCCGACTGGAGCACATGAGCAGTTACACCAGGGATTTCCTGAAGACCATCTGCTACACACCCTCCTCTTCCCGGAGCTCCAACTTGACCCGCAGCTCCAGCAGTGACAGTATCCACAGCGTGCGTGGGAAACCCGGCCTGGTGAAACAGCGAGCTCAGGAGATCGAAACCAGGCTTCGGCTCGCTGGCTTGACTGTTTCCTCCCCCCTGAAAAGGTCCAATTCTCTCGCCAAGCTGGGTTGTCTGAACTTATCCTCCGAGGACTTATCGAGCGACATGGACGTGTCCACACTGACGGACTCCAAGGAGGCCATTTCGAGCGAGTCTTCCGTGCTCTGTGACTCGCAGGCCACTCTGAGATGCGTGGCCGTAGGCTCCAAACTTGTAGCAAAGTCAACTATGGGCAACTTGAAGAGCGCGCTTTGGATGGGCAAAAGTTGACACGTTCTGTCCTCTCTGTCTGTCTGTCTGTCTATTTTAAATCAACATTTACGGCCTGCATCCAATGCAATTTTATCATCGGTAACAGTCATTCATTTGACAACCTCTTTCTCCTCGCAGGTGGGGGGAAAGGGGACGCTGATTGATTGGAATGAACAGCACGAGGAAGAAACCATAGCGCATGGCTTGGAATGGGACTTTGTGCGTGTGGATTGCCTACTGCTCTGACCCACACTTCCCAGGACTGTTTGCCAAGTATAATAATGTTGCAATTATATACGTGTATATAAAATGCTGAAAATTTCTGTTTGAAAGTCTCAACAAAAGAACTGATCACAGCATTTTATTTTATTTTTGTGTGCACAAAGCAAACATAGCACAAGTCTTTCATTCCAACAGGCACTTGTGAAGAACTCCATAGATGGTGACATAAACACTACCTCTGTTCTGGTTGATATCTGGTCTTGGTTTATTATTTTTAGGAGCTGGTTCTTTTTTTCTGCAGGATATTTAACATTTTTTTTGAAAGGCATTTGTGTGTGACATGTACTGTAAAGACCCAAATGAGCATGGAGGGTGTAGGCTTCACTGCACTGAGTTCATCCTCATTAGGAGGTCATGCAAAGGAGCGTAAAGCTGTGTTCGTGTTGACCAAGTGATCTGCTGACCAGTCGGTCCCTGTGAGTTGTCCTAGTCCCGTATTCATAATGGAGTGACATCTAGGCTTGCGTGTTTTTGAACTTCAAATGGAGAAGGTGTCTTGTTCTTCAGGTATTATTGCTGTTTGTTGTGGTTTATGACTGTCCCAGTAATAAGAATGAGCCTGGCCAGTAGGTGACCATGAAGCATTGTGAGATGTATGTGATGCTGGAGTCAGTGTTGTACTTGTGCTTTGGAGAACCTACTGCACTGAGCTGCTGCTGGCACGAGTTGCGATAAGATGATTACTGACTTGCGTCCTGCTGTGACAGGCGGCAGCCAGGCTTACTGGTGTTCAATGCATTTGACATATAAGGCGGTATTAGGCAAATTTTGTTTATTTTATATAATATTATATTTTTGGTAGAACTGTTCCTGCATCCTGGAGTTTGCAGCAGTACTACAAAGCAGCAGCAGCAGGGCTAGCTCAGGAAAGTGCATGGTTGTCAACCTCCTTTCTAGGCAAAATCCAAGGGGGTTATTAATTGTGATGGTGGTGGGGCTGCGTGGAAGGGAACGTGCCCTCGCTCCTGTTCTGTGTCAGTAGTGCACAGCACAGGGGCTGCCCAAGGTGAGCAGCCTCCTCCCAGTCGCTCTGAAAAACTAAGTTCTGCTCTCGGATGCTGCTCCCTCGGGCTACGCTGGTCTCGCGTTGTCCTTCCAACGGTAGAGGTTGGGGCAAAGGCCAGGACGGGGGAGTTTTGCTAACCTCACCTCAATGGACTATTGCAATAACTCAGAGAGGATAAGCCAAAAGCTAGAACAGTGTCCCGAGCCTTTAACAAGCATTCCTTCTTCCACGTGGAGCTGCTAGCTTCGCCTGCTGACAAAGGCATTGCGGCCTCAGTCCTGGCCCCGCAAACTCATTAGCTTCAGCAGAACAGGACCAGGCCCCTGGCTGTACAGCTCCTTCCTTCACCTGCTGCTGAGGCCTGCTGTCTGTCACGAGTGTAGAGACTGCCCTGAAATTCTGTTCCCGTTTGGGTCTTCTTCCAGTTCCCAGTGAAGCGCTTGAATCGGAGGACTTTGGGATGCAGTCCTGCAAATTAATGTGAAAACGGCGCTGACCACAATGAGTTAAACAAGTGAGATATGTGGAGGGACCCAACTGGGCCTGAGTTCAATGTCCCTCAGCAAAGGGGCGATGACACGTCCACAGTTGCCATGGTGCTCCCTAGAGCACCGCCAAGAAGCAAGGTCCCATCCACCTGTTCTTGCTTTAAGCCAGAAATAAGGCAAGGTGTGACTGCCGGCAGAGTTGTTGGGAGCATCATGGCAGTGGTGTAGATGCACCCTTACCATGTCACAGCCCATTGCGGATCTGGTCCAGATCAATATTTTAGTATGCCGATCCTCTCGCGCTGCTCCAGTGGCAGCGGACTACAACAGTGTAGTTGTCCACGGATGCCGTGTCGAGTACAATCATCTCACCAGCCTGCCGTGGAGAAGTCTGCTTTTAAAAGACACCATTGCGCTCTGTATTTTTGCCAAATTCAGAGAAAAGTGTCGTGAAGCACCTAAGTTCCGGGTTCCAAAATGCCTTGGTCGCTGCAGCTTCTCAGACTCATTGCAAGTCATTTGGACATGAACTCTTGGGTGACTTACATGCTTCTGAAAACTGCTCTAGGGTAGCATTTTAAAAAAGGCCTAAATCCTATGTCCTAGGTTAACTTTGGTGACAAATCTCTCATACTATGCAGTTTTAGTGGCTAGGTGGGTGTGAGCCAGAAATGTATTTTAAGCGTTTCCATGTGAAAGCTGGTTTTGCCAACACTGCACGCTCATCCTTAGCTCACTGCCACTTTACCATTTCACACAGGGAAGGTTGCTTCATGTTAGCAAAGCAAAAAAGCATCGCCAGCGAGTGGCACTGTGAGGGTCTTTTGGGGGTGTGAAACATTGGGGTTTGCGCTTATCTTGGTATTGGAGAAAACTGTCCTGGCTCAGAGAGTTGGACTCTCCCTTAGCTGCTCTGTGCTGTTGTTTGCTGGCTACAAATCTTCAGCTGTGCGTTTTGCACAGGCATGTCTCTCGATGCTGTGGTTGCCATAGTTTTTTGCGTTGAGTGACTTAATTGAATTGTTGTTTCTGTGACGTGTTTCTGAAGTCAGTGCTGACCAGTTCAGTCCATTACACTGTGAATTCCCTGGCGCACATACCTGCCGTCTCCCACCCCAGTGAAGACATTTCCATTTCACTTTATCTGGGCTTGAGGGTAGATCAGAAATATCAGCATGGTTATATGCCTAATGTTCAGGTACCGTGGGTGCATTGCTAGGTCCCAACGCATGTCGTAGATTTTAATTGTCTTCCTATGTTTGTTCACACCTAGGTGAAAAATGGATTGGGGGGATTAGGGGATGGTGGTGGGCACAAAGGAGACAGCTCACCAGGTACTTGACGTCTGCCAGTGTTTCTTCAAAGCCTGTTAGCCCATGCGAAATGGCTCATACCGAAGGTATGTATGTTGTCAGTATGTCCACCAGCTCCCCCAAAGTCCAAGTATTGTACTTGAGGCTTGAGCGCAGCACAACAGCTGGGGTACAATGGGAGCCGTGAGAGCTGGTTACACAGTTGTTCAAGTTTTGCAAATCACTGACCCATTCCTTCTTTGCTACAGGGAGGTGTTTCTTCAGCTCAGCCCTGTAGCATCTTTTGCCCAAGCCTGTGGCATTGGAGGACAGATTCTAGCCTTTTTTGTATTATGTTTAATGTGTCTCTTCCCATATCCTGTTTCTCTATTTTGTTTCTGCCCTCTTCACCCAAATAACCCTCAAGGGTCCTTAAATAGTGCCATGCTTGAAGAACAAGTAGCAAGCTCCTAGGCTAGGACTGTCCTGTTTTCAGTGGGTCTGCTTGAGATGTCCCACTGTGGGGATACGCACACCCTGTCCTCCGCATTGCTAGGGCAGGGACCATCCGCTGGGGAGTAAGAGCGTATTGCAGTGTAGCGCGATACGTTTCAGTGCAGCGAACAATGTCCCACTGCAGAGTTTGTTCCCAACCATCCCGTTGGCTGACCGACCCGCTGTTGCTCTTACGAGACGAGGAGCTTAGAACTGAAGCCCTAAGGATTTCTAAGACACAAGTGAATATAGTGTTTCCTTCCTGTTTTCTTCTTGGGTGCCTGCCAAATTCGACTGCTACTTCTCCTTGTACTTCTCCCATTGACTGCTCTTCCCAGGTGGTGATTTGAACTCAGCCGTCTGGTTGCCCATGGCTGTGTCACCACTTCTACAACATCGCTCATCAAGCTTGAAACCCCATTGCTGCTTAGCGCAATGCTATACTGTCAGTATTAGAGAGGTAGCTAATTTGTTTCTCTTCATTTTCTTTTCTTTTTTTTTTTTTTTTAAAGCCGTTTTATGCATAGAGGGCCCTAGCATGCCATTCCAGAGTTCTTGCAGCCAAAAGATGCAATGCCTGCCGGCTGCATTAGACTTGTTGCATGAGAAGTTAGCTGTTTCCTTTCCTTCCCGTGTATTGTAACTGTTCTTTTCCAACTGAGTGCCTTAATAATAGTTTACATATACCATATCTTTCTGCCGAGCTGTCAAACTCTGCTGCTTCGCTGTTGTTCTGGTGCTGCGGTGTCTTTAGTGGCAGTCGGACCATGACTACTTGCGCGTACCTTCCCTGTGTGACGCCTGTCATTCCTGAGCACAGAGCCACTATCAGATTCCCCTTCCCTATAGCAGGGCATATGAGCAGACAGATCCCAGTCTCTGTTGCCCCATCATTGTTTCGATGCATCTATGCATAGCTGCAGAAAGCACAGGCCGGCGTGCAGAGCTTGACGAGACGTTCCAAAGACGGAAGGCCATCATTCCTCGGGGGCGTGTTGCAAATGCCATCTCAGCCAAGGTGTGCCCCACCATCAGATCTGAAATGCACAAACTGGCACCTTATTTCCAGCCTATGCTTCTTTTCTTTTCTTTTTTCTTGGTTGTCGTTGTCATTCCGTGTTTTAGAGAGCACCTCATCTTGGCCTCAAGCGTTCTTTAATTCAATGATGTCTCCATTCTTGTTCCAAATGTTGGCCTGTTCTCCTCACCCAAGGGTGGACTCAGCTCCCCAGCTAGTGCCCTCATTAGGCAGACTCCAGACGTGAAAGGGCAGATGACTGCTGTGTCGCTGTTTCAGTGCATTGCTGTACTCTGACGATATCCATGTTCCTTTTGTTCTGGTGTATTTCTTAAGTCTGGTTTTTATATATTTAAATATGCAGTATCTTTTGTACTGTACCTTTGCAGTAGGGGATGCATAATGCACTTTTTTTTTTACTTTGGTTTGTAAAAGTGTACTGTATATTTTATGTGCTTCTTGTGAGAAAAATAAACTTGTTTTTTTTTCTTTATGAGTAAGTTCGGCACCACCTTTTGAAGCCCACTTCCACAGCTCAAAGCGCATGTCTCCACGCCACAGGCATCCACGGTGTTGGCAATCGGTGTCCATTCATAGACGTCGCTGCCTTTGCCTGTTCTCATTCAGGAGCATTACTCGTGTTACGGACGAGGTGTGGGACGCTGCGCATTACAGGTCGGGAGCCAGATTCTGATCTTAATGTTGCCACCTCATCAGAGCCAGCTGGAGCGGCGTAACTGAGAACAGGATCTGGTGCAGGACCAGTTGGTGTCATAGGCCTGGATGCGTGATGAGGCAGATGGAAATGATGTGTGAAGCAGTGCAAAGGAGTGGGAGGTGGGTGTAGGGTAAAGCTGCCTCCTGCCCTCCCTCTCGCACACATTATCACCCAACCGCCTCTCGCGTTGACTGTTGCTCTTGTTTGTACAGTCCCCAAGAGCTGAAGCAAAGCTCTTTTCCGCCTCCTTGTTGCTGCATCGCTTGCACCCGTGGCAAAAGCACTGCTGAACCTGGCTCAGAAGTGTCCATGGGAATGGCACCTCGAGTCTGAACCCCATCAGATCTTGCCCAGTGTGATCCCTGACACCTTCCTACCTGAATCCTGAGTCACTTGAGCCAGTACCCACAGGCAATGAGACAGTGCCTGCAAACAAAGAGACTGGGTTAAATTGGTTCTGCAACACCAGGCACTGGTGGGTAAAGAAAGCCTAAAGCGTTGGGACTTGAGCCACCATCCAAAGACAACCTGTCAGATGCTCAGCTTTGCAGAGCATCTTACCAAATAACAGTCCAGATACAGGGAGCATAGTGTAGGTTCAGGCAGGTCCAATGCCATTAAGGCACTAGAAGTGCAACAGTCTAGAACTGTTGGTTCAGAAATGATACCTTTTATTAGACCAACTAGGAAATTGCAAAAAATATATATTTTTCTGCAAGCTTTTGGGCTCACAAACATCCTTCATCAGGCTCTGGGAAAATTAAAGATGGTAAAGAGTCTCCACAGATAGGAAATAAACTTCATTTTTGCACAGAGGGAGCTGGAGATGGAAATCTGTCCCTCTGGGTCCATGAGAGTGTCTTTGTGAGTTGTTCTGAGTTGCTCTTTGTTGTGTAGATCACATAGGATTACTGTGAAGGCGCTAAGCACTCTGCTGCCTACAGAACCCAAGAGTTTATTTTGTCACGGGGCTGCATGGCCTTCTCTGCCTTTGACCCAGGCCCTTCAAATCCCAGCTGACATGTTAAGAAGAGACCTGGGCTTTAACGTCTTTTCCAGGGGACAAATCACTGGCAGTTAAGCAGACGAATTGCATGTTACGAGCTGTAGCTGGGCCGTGGAGCCTGTCGTGAGATGAGTCAACTGGGTTGCAGATCAATGTTCCATGCGATGTGGGCTCGGCCTTTCCAGTGCTTTCACCAAATTTTGCCTTTAAAGGCAAACAGTGCACGGCCGCCTCTGCTGCCTGCAAGGAGTCTCGTCGCTGCTTGGAATCGCTCTTGCTCTCTGAGCTGCTCCAGGGAAGAACATGTCAGTGTTTACGTTGGCAGTGTGACAGAGCAGGCAGAGGATGCTCTCTGGCACTGGCATGCTGGGAAAGCCATTAACCCCACCAAGAAATGCTGCCTCTTAAATGACATTTTGATTTTTCTGTAGTTGATCAGGCTCCACCTTGGTAGCTTTGGAGATTGGCATTTGCCACTTCACCAACCAAGAGCAACATGGGCAGTGGCAGTGCCCATGTGGACTGCTGGTAACCGCCAAGGGAGGTCTGTTGGAGAGTGGAGAGTCTCCATAACTACTGAGGCTGCCCATGTGTTTTTGTGCCCAGATGGTTTCTCTGATGGCGCTGGAACGTATTTGAGGGTTGGCGTTAATCTGCTGGCTTTTCAAAACCTGGAGTGTAAAATGTTTAGGCTGGAAAGTCCTTGCAATGAGCTAACTCGGTCATCCAGCTCTCTTAGGCCTCACAGGATACCCCAAGTCTCCGTGAAGATCGTGATCTGGGTTTAAATGCAGGTATTAACACACCAAGCTTTGTGTTGCAGCGAGATTTGGGGCAGGAAGGAGGGCTGGGAAGATTTTGCACCTGCTCTAAATTTACGGCCCTTGGAGACGCTGCACCCCTCTGTACTGCTTTGTGGACCTGATTACTTTGTTTTGCCAACTGGCATGATTTTGAGCTACGCTTGTGCCCTTCCTGAAAGTCATCCGTGAGGGAAGATGAGCCCATTAGGCAGGAATTCACCACCTGAGTGAGCAGCATCTGTCTGGAAATGTAGCATAGCCAAGCGCTGGAAGCCAGCGCAGGAGCTGTGGTTAGGTCTGGGAGGCCTGGGGCAGAGGTGGGACTGCCAGCGTTGCCAGTGTGTGCGAGGACTGTCGCTTTGCCCCTGTTCCCCGCCGTACTACATGCACGTCAGTCCCTGACGTGGATTTAGCTCTTTTGCAGTGTCTCCAAACAAGTTACTTCAGATTTGCACCGTGGCGTTTGGTCCCACCCCGCTGGAGTTTCATTTAATGCTCGTGACACTCTCTGCTGGTTGGAAGGTCCCTGGAAATGCTTGCTCCTTTCATGGCTGGCTCCTTTTCACTTTGGGGAATTCTTTGCATTGGATCCTGAGACTTTCTGCTTTGTGCACGTCTGAATTGTGTCTGCTCCAGAGAAACACGAGGGAAAGACCAAGTCAGAGTCGTTGCCATCCATTTCAACAGGGCAGAAGCCAGACTTTCACTCTTAGCAATGGGGAGAGACACGTCCGTGTGGAGTGACGTCTGGGCTCGAAAGTCTCCACCTGCTCTGCCCCACTTTCCTTAGGATGTCTGATTTTGGTGAACCAAATTTCTGAACCAAGAGCTCTAGGTTTTTGCATTTGAATTTGGTGAGGTTTGTGGGATTGGGAGGGACCTCCAGCGTGGTGTCTCTGTGATGGCTGAATCACCAGTCACCCTGCCATAGACCCTGCTGAAATGCATGCTAAAGGAAGCCACGTCCTCTGGACTACCATGAGTGGGGTGTTCACAGTGCCTGACCTTCCCAACTCTTGGTTTGCTCTTTAGGGTGATAATCAGCATTTCACCCTGTGCAGGTGCCAGCTTCCAACCTGTTTCCCTGGGCTGGGGCCTGGGAGCCTAGCTGAGCCAGTAGATGGGCCGTAAGCACAGCTTCCTGGCCCAGAGCACCTGTGGGTGTCTCTAATGAGAGCCACATCCGCTGCCCACTGCTGTCCCTTCACCATGAGCAAGAACCTTCCCCGACGTCCCAGCGCAAGGGAATTGTCCATGTCCAGGGGTGCAGACAGACGGGGCTCTGCATTGTCTGGCTGTGCCTCAAGGCTTTTTATAGCAGACCCAAACCCAAGATATCACTAACGGGAAAGATAACAGCCCTGGGACTCGCACATCAGCACACGCCATCTACACTTTACTTTCGGCAGTGCGGAGCACCCATCCCAGCTCCCGCTGTCGGAGCTGGGAGGATCAGGATGTCTAAACATCAGGCCGACAAAGCAAAAAGCTTTCCCTCCACTACCTGCTTCCGAGTCTCCAGGCCCAACCCTTGTCCTCAGCAAAACAAGGTCGGAGCAAGGGCCTGGAGGTGAAGGAGTGTTGAGTCGATGGTTATTTATGTGTTTGTTTTTACCGATGAAACCCTAATAGCCTCATGGTGTTTAAATGGCAACTTCCCTTCCTTCCCTGTGGTCTGCCAAGATGCGCTGACTGCCCCTCCTCAGACTCCATCTGAAAGCGTGCGTCTTTAGTCACTGGCCCCTAAAAATAATTTATAAAGAGCCATCGCAAGACAGGACTACAAGACGGAGCACAATCTACCATGAGGCTGCTGGTAAGTGTATAGATGTCCTTTTCTTTCCCCTTGTTGTGATCAAATGTTATATCCTGTTTATGGTGTTGCTATGGCAAAAGCAGACAACATCTGGAACAACATGAGTCCTGTCTGATGCTGACGAGTGGCGCGGAGTTTATAGGCGAGGTAGTGGACTGTGTTGCTGGAATATAAAACATCTGAGGCGTCCACCGCGCCAGGCATGATGGCACGACAATAAGGATAGGGTGTTGTAGGTGTGGCATGTTGCCTCTTCTCCCTGTTCTGCGAAAAAGCCTTGATTAGGTTGGCATGAGCCACTTACTGCATGGCCCTGCTGGCTCTCAGCCCACAAATGCTTGTCGACTAAAGGATAACGTGGCACATTAAAGGCGGGCCATCTCTCTGACCCATTGCTTTCCCCTCCAAGGGCTGTCTCGCTGTGGGGACAGAGCTCCATTAGCAAGTTTTTCCCCTGATGCTCAGCTTAAATTTTCCTTGCTTAATCCAGCCCTGTTGATCCTAGTTACGAACCTGTCCTGTAGCAGGCTTGGATACGCTGAGATGGGTAGAAAGGAAATATTTGCTGTATTGCTGCATTGTTGGCTGTAAGTTTGCAGACACATGGCCAAGGCCAACGCAGGAGGCTAAAATGAAGTGCCTATAACATCCTGCCAGGCTATCCTGGGTGCTCGGACCTCCTTTTATTGCAGTGCAGCGAGAGCCCTTGGAGGCACGAGGAGAAATAAGCCGATGACGTGGCGGTTAGTTCTGCAGAGTGCAAAGGGTTTTATTGGTTTTTATTACCAAGTGCCCGGAGCAAGTCAATAGAGCGAGTCAATAAATGCCCTCCATTGTGATGGGTCCCGTGTGAGTGAGTGATGGGAAGAAAGAGGGAGCAGAGGCCTCTCCGTAGCCGAAAGTGGGTGGTTATGGTTCGCACTCCTTCCAGATACCAACCAGCAGTGAGAGGAGGTGAGGGGGAAGCCCTCTCAAAACATGCCGCCAGTCTGGGTGGATACCCTCTGCCCACAAACAGGTGGAGCAGAGGTAGCGGCAGGGTAGGCCTCCTTTCCAGCCCGCTGGGCCCTAGCCCTGGTGTGGAAAGACCCCAACTGAGCAACCGAGTGGTAGTGGAGGGTGGGGAAGGGGGGAGCTTTGGTCCCCTTGG